TGAAGTTAATATTCAGTGTCTATAAGATTTTATTGGGATACAGCTATGTTTTTACATATTATCTTTGGTGGCCTTCCTGCTACAGCAGCAGAGTTGAATGGTCTGACAGATTGACCTGAATTACCTAGCATTTACTGTCTGGCCCTTATGTAGAGTTTACCGATTCCTGTTACAAAGGATAGTTTTTTTGTTCACACATGCCATGTAGTCAGTTTGATTATTTGCTTCTAGCTGGTGGGAAGAGGATTTAGCTTCCTTAATTTCTTAATCCTGTTGCTGTTATTTAGGTTTTATTTTATAAAATGGGTTCCCCTATTCCATTTATGTTTTCTTATTGTGCAAGTACACATATTCTAGAAGATACTAGTACTTTTAGGGAACATTTTTTCCTTAATCTTAAAATATAGTAAATGTGTTTGCCATGGATATTAAGGAACCATGATGTGTCAGAGGAAGTCATCTGGCACTAATGGGTTAAATCACAGTTTGTTTTCTGTGTTGAGTAATTTCATTGCTTTCAAACTACCTCCTGTGGATAGACTTGACTAATACGCACTTAAAGAAAGACAAGAGAAGTCAAATCAGACATTTATTAGCCCTGTAATATTTTTGTTCTGATGACTTGGTAAACTTTCTAAGAGAGCTTAGTTTTGCATCCAGAAAGTATTTATATTTGGTAAGTTAAATGACTTAAGTTGAAACCTCATAGAAGTACCTGCTCATTCAGTTAACTGCATTAGTAGGTCGGAAAAAAGGGTGTAGTCAGTTTTATTTCTGTAATGCTTTATACAATGTTTGCAGCAGCTGGACCTATACTAATAGTATATTTTCAGGTTCAAGACTGGATTGAGGGAGGGAAAAACCTTATGATTTCACAGTAAAAATTTTCATGACCTACTGAGTTGTTACCACTTGCCAATTGAAACTGGACATTGAAACATTTTAAAGAAATGCACTTTAATCTGAAATAAAAGTATAAAAACTAAACCATAACGGTACTTGTTTGTTTGGTTTTGGGTTTTTATTCATTTATTTTAATGAGACCTGAATTGAAGAACAGCATAATCCAAATACCAACTTAAAGTAAACATTGTATTCCTCTACAAACACATGAACCATTCATTTTTGCCTCCTTTTATGGCCTGTTATTAACTATAGGGTTTCTGTTTTATGGGTTCCACACACTTTTTAATCCATATTTTTAAATTTAAAAAAAGAAAGAAATAGACTTGGTGATGTTGAAGGGTAACATCAGTTTATTATGGTTGCTATAACAACCACAGACAGTGGCTTAAACAGCAAATTTGCTGTCTCAGTTCTAGACTCTGAGATAAAGTGTCCTTTAAGGCTGTGTGGAAAACTGTTCCATGCCTCTGTCTCCTAGCTTCTGGTGGTTGGCTTTCCTGGCGTGTAGAAGTATCGCCCCAAGCTCTGCTCTCATCACATGTTCTCCCTATGTGTTTGTCTACTTGTCCAAATTTCCCTCTTAGAAAGGCACCAGTTCCATTGAATCGGGGTCTACTCTTAGGACCTCATCCTAACTAATTTCTGCAATTACCTATTGATAAGGTCACATTTTGAGGCACTG